ACATCAAAAAATTTTTTTGAAACTTAAAAATTTTTTTAAAAACTATTTGCAGAAAACTTTCTTCTTTAGTTAAACTATCTTTTGCAAATAACTTAAGAAATTTATTTGACTGGAGCAAAGCGAAATTTTGACAACCTAACTTGACTTATAAATATCAGACTCGAATTATAATTATCGATGAATTTCTTATAAGATCTGCTATCTCGCTTTACTCGCACGAGATTAGACTTAATTACAAATATTTCATAATAGTTTTTTTTTCAACACTGGGAAATTTTTTCCAAGTTTCGTTTCTGGAAGAATTTTGGCATTGCATACAACTCGAACCGTTCCTATAACTATTCTCGGTGCTTGAAAAAACCTATAACACACCTGAAGACAGAGTTTTTCCCCATATTCAAAGGCCGTAACAAGAAATTTTTATAACAAAACGACTGCTCCTATGTTAGGGCAAAACTTTGATGGTCTTAAGCTATCATCTTTGGACCTGTATTTATCAAAATCTAAGTAGCTTGAATCAGTGTCAAAAACTTAGTGGTAAAATTTGAGTCTTAAATGGAATTAAGATGACCTTAGTTAATTAAAAAAAAAACTTTGTGTAAAGAAAGTTATATCGCTTTACGCTTTCAGCATCATGAATTCTTCAAAAATTGAATAAACTAATTTCGTTTGAAAAGAACGTAATTTTGATAGCTATCTTTTTTGGTTATCAACGAGAAGTTATTTGTTTACACAGAGTGTAGGAAGTTTTACCCTTCATAAACCTTGTGTAACTACAATTTGAACTTTTTTAAAAGCGTCAAATTAAGTCCGACTTTTTAGGTATAAAATTTTTGTTGACGTCTTTTGTGTCAATAAAGTTCCTGAGACCCATTTGCGTAATCAAGATAACTTGAAAATTCTATTTGAAAGTGTTTAAAAATCATTGCAGTTTTTGCTCCGTTTTTCAAGAGAGTTACAGAAGTTTTTGTCGGAGTTTTTTCTCTAAATTTTCTATTGCAAAGTTAAAAGAAACAATAATATTTCATTTCTAGTAACAAGCTAAGAGTGACATCATTAAGTACGGGTGAAACTCGTGTTTTACTTTTTGAAACAAGAAAAATTTGTCTGGTTGTGGTTTTTTGCGCTCGATAAGTTCCGACTCTTAAAAATTTGTTCAAATTCTTGTTGACAAAAATTTGTTGACATTTTAAACATTCTTTTAAATTCATTTTTTCTACGATTAAGAACATGTTTGCGTTCAGTGTTTCACATAAAGTAAAAAAAACATCTTTTTAAGATCTCAAAAACGCGATATTCGTCAAAGCTGGCAATTTTTTTGAAAAAAAATAGCATGAATACACTGAACAAAAAAATTCATTAAAAAACGGCTCAAGAAGAAAAAAATTTGTTTTGAACTTGAAAAACGTTAAAAATGATCAAACGAAAAAAATGTCGGGGAGTTGTTTTCATTTTGACCTATCCACAAAATATGTTGCAAGATAGCAAGTATTCCCCATGTTTGTTTGATTGTACTTAAAAGTCAATTTTGGAAAATTTTTGATTTTTTCATGGAGTTAATTGCACAGTAAACGGCTGTCCTTGTTATTTGTCATGTCATGTTTCCAGTCGTTCAGCGACTTTAAAGTAACAGCAAAAACCTACCTTTCAATTTTATGGAAAATGTTTCAAAAATAAGAAGAATACAAGGTTTTAAATTGTGCGCTTTTTAAGAAATTTCTAAAATCTTTTAAGTGCCGATGTTTTCATCAAAAGAATTTTCTGAAACGAAGAATATTTAGTGTGCCTGTTCTGCAAATGTCTGTTCAGCATCAACTTCGACATGGATAACTCCAAGATCAATTGTTCTCCGACTGCGTCTTTTGTTTCTCAAGATGGTCTAGCTATACAAGTTTGTTCTACTCGTTTAATGACCCTGAAATTTTTGACAAAAAATTTTTTTAAATAGCTTTGAGAAGTATAACATCGCTATTGAAACCTGGATTTTAAATAGATGGTAAAAGATGCTATAAATTGACTAAAAAGACATATGTCTGTATTTCTTTTCAGCTGTAACATAAGTTTAGCTTCTGTGTCAATAGAAACGAGATTTCGGAATCAATCCAAACATATATTTTTTCCAGAATACTTATCGAAATTCCATTTCAATAACCTTTTTGTTCATATCTATAAAATAGTAAATTGTTACTAAGAAACATCTAGTTAGAGAGTTATTTATAAACATTTATAAATACAAATCGTCTTCGTATGGGATAACACCATTAAGCCAATGCAGCCCATTCTCAGGCGTCCCATTAAGAGGAGAAAAAACTAAGCGTTAACATCTTAGACCCAATCGACCGTTCTACTTGTAAGAATATACTGAACGTAAACCCTCTTTTGCCAGTAATCTCTTTTTCTTTTCTAAGTAAGTCTGAAACCTCTCTTTTCAATTTTTTCCAATCAATTTTCAAAATCGTTCAAATCAGCGAAAACAACAGAAACCGTCCAAAAAGCATGCAATTTTATGACAAACTTCCATATTTATTCCATTTTTCTACTATTATTCTAACGCACAAAAACAAATTCTCAAATTAACTAAGTCGTTTAAAAAGCTGTATAACAAATGCTTATGATTTTTTTACAGTTACTCAATTTAAATCATTTTATCTTAAGCAACATTTTGAGCGCATGTGACTCAAAATAGGCTGAGACTGTTCAAAACTTACAAAAAAGTCGCGATTCAGTTATGCTATTTAAACTGATTTTTGGAACCTGTGGCCGTGAGAAAAAGTTAGTAATATGAATTGACCTTTGGCAAAAAAAAGACTTTTCGAAAAAGAATACGTGTGTTAAATCATTTTGAATTATCTGATGTTAAGAAATTGCCTTTTAGTGCCTCATTCACGGAAACTCAGCTTGCCAGTTCATTGCCTGGATTAGAGAAAACCTACTTCAATGTGACTATTTTCTTGTGTCCCAACATATTGACAAAGTTTTTTAATAACACTCAAAATGCAAGAAAATGGGGATCCTGAATGGCGGTCCTGTAAATGATTAAGAATTATGTTGATCTAGCTAACTGCACATTAAAAAAACACAAATATACTGGGTTATTTTGAAATTTTCAAAAATAGATCGCTTCTGCAAGCAAAAAATTCCACTGATTTTTTTCCGTTTGGCTTCGTGGTAAGTGTGTTTCATGTAGTTAGCGTCTTGTTTATTAACCTAATATTAAATTTTGTGATTTATGTTTGATTTGATTGGTTCTAGTTTTCAGTTTTTTTGTGCTTTTTTCTAAGAAGAACAAATGTGCTTTTTCTACTTAGAGACCATGTGTAGGCCTTCTCATGGCGATCCTGTATTTGACCAGCAATTATGTTGATAAAGCTAACTGCACATTAAAAATAATAATATATACGGGATTATTTTGCAATCTGCATATGTATTACGCTTATGCAAGCAAAAAAAATCCAACAAAATTTCTACGTCTTTAACTGCTCGAAACTTTTTATAATGCACGACTCATGTTGCGACTTTGCGCGACCCATGTTGCGAGTTTGCGCGACCCATAAGGCGACTTTGCGCGACCCATGTTGGAGATTTGTGTGACTCCTATTGCGACTTTGAGCGACCCATGTTGCAACTCAACGTGATCTATGTTGCGACCAATGTTTCCCGCGACACATGTTGGGACTTAGAGCGACCTACAATGCGACTTTGCGCGACCCATGTTGCGACTTAGCGTGATCCATGTTGCGAATTTGCGCGACACATTTTGGGACTTTGCACGACCCATAAGGCGACTTTGCGCTACCCATGTTGGCAACAATTGTGCGACGCATGTTGCGACTTTGCACGACCCATAAGGCGACTTTGCGCTACCCATGTTGGAGATTTGTGTGACTCATATTGCGACTTTGCGCGACCCACTTTTCGACTTTGCGCGACCCATGTTGCGACTTTGCGGACCCATGTTGCGACCTTGCGCGACCCATGTTGCGACTCTGAGCGACCCATGTTGCGACTTAGCGCAACCCTTGCTGCGACTTTGCACGACCCATGTTGCGACTTTGTGCGACCCATTTTTAGCTATTTTATGGCTCTGAGCGACCCTTGTTGCGACTTTGTGTGACTCATGCTTTTTGCAGGAGTGTGGAAATTCTGTTGCAGAAATTCCATTTTGACAACCCAGCTCGGTCGCAACATGAGTCGCGGGCCTTGGACCTGGTGGCAGTAGTGAAAATTTTACAACACATCTTAACTTGTGGGCCAACGGACACCCACTTGAAATAAGATTTTAACGATGAGCTCAAAGTGGTATAAAAAATTCAAAAAAAAGAAGTATAAAAAAATTTAAAAGTGGTATAAAAAAAATTAAATTCTTGAAATTTTTTGGCATTAAAACCACTGGGAAAATCGTTTTTGAGACTTTGTTTTATGGAAACAAACAAAAAGTTCAATAAACAGAGCAGGTTTATGTTTAAAAAAACATGAACCTTGATTAGAATTTGATTAAAATCATTCCCCCATGGTAGCAGAGAAAGAGGTGATGGATTACACACTTCTTCTTGGAATCTTGACATCATCAAAGGGGGGTTCCCTTTGATGGTATTTTACAGCATAAATTTTTCACGAAAAGTTCTGGCTCCGATAGATTCCTAAGGCCGACCGATTGTTTGATGTTTTTTTGAACATTTATTTACCTCTCGTATCAAAAACTGTTGACGGCTTTGCTGAAACAATTTCAATTAAGTATATGCCAGTGATGATAAGAGAGGCGGTCAGAAATTGTTGTGAGCCATTGCTTATAGTTCACAGTTTTTAAAACACAGGGAAAAAATCACCTGTCTGTGGTTGCAAAAATAAGAAGAATTAGACATTGTTTCATTTACTTTACGCCAAACCAAAATCAGTTTGTTAAAAGAAAACGCAGAAAAATACACATTGTGAATGTGAAGAAAAAAAACGTTAAAAACGCAGCTTTTTAAGCAATACTGCCATCGCTCTCAATAATTTATTGTGTTCGTCACAATATATTTTAGCTAGATGAAACGTGTAAAATAAGCAAAAAATCTAGTTTTCATCTTTCATTCTGTATTCGTCATTTTATGCAAAAGCGACGGACAGATTTCAAATCTAGAAAACGGCCATTCAATTTTAAGTACCATCTATATTAAAAAGCAATAAAGTTTTCGTTTACTTCACGGACTGTCAAACTTTTTTTGAAAAAACTTTGAGAGACTCCTTTTTTGCAACCGATCTGAACAAAAAGCACTTAATTACAAACCAAGCGTTAAACTGAAATCAGCAACTTCAACAGCCGCAGTCGCAGTGAGTTTGTAGAGGAACATGTCTCACATTATGTTGTCGTACCAGTGGGACATTCAGGGGGTGGTGAAAAAGGTGTTCGAGCGACTCACTGAAGATGGATTCCCAGTTTGGATGGACATCGAAGGTAGGAATAATTAGTAGCGAAAAGATTAGACGGAGAAAAAAAATAATTAAAAAGAGCAAATAACATTTTTCAGACTATTTTTGTATGCAAAAACTATTTGTTCAGGCAGAAAGTATGTCTCAATGTCACCTAAAATTTCAAATTTACTTGCAAAAAGTGCTCAAAATTAGCAGATTGCTCATCTTATTTTTTTTGTCTGTCCGAACTTTTTGCAACTCTATACAAAGGGTAACATCTCGCAAAAAACTCGAAAAGTAATTAGAATTATTTGAACATGTTTGCAAAAGCTTACGAACATTCTCCAAGAGTATTCGTAAAAAATTTTCCCTTTGAACTAAATTCCATTATTGTAGGTCGATGAATTTTGATATTCTGAGCTTTTCCAAACTGATTTTCCAGTAACTTTAAGAATAAAATTTTGATCGAAGTTTTTGCGCCACAGAAAAAATGTGACCAAATGCAAATTTTTGGGCCTTTTTTGGAACGAGTGTATTAAAAGCTCGCGTATTTTTACCGCTCCATATCTCCCCTTTTAAAAAACACTTTTTACAACCAAATAGTAGAGGATTTTCTGGGGCAGCATGTTCTTCTTCTCTCAGGGATTCGATCCCTTAACCGCCTAAAATGTTTTTTTTCTTCAAAAATTGAAAAAGAGCCCTTAGCTCCAGATACCCCTGATCCAGAAAATCTTAGATCCACCCCTACACACCAAAACAACACAAATTTTTTTGTTCTGTTTATTTTATCTACCTTAATATAAATTTTGAGATAATTATACCAAAAATATGGTTTTAAGGTGGCATGTCTTCAAACATCAATGACAGCATGGCGTTTGGAGTTGACAACGCCATTGTCGTCATTCCCTTCATGACTCCAAAGTACGCCGACTCGAAAAACTGCAAAAAGGAACTCAACTACGCAGACGCTCAAAATAAGGAAATAGTCCCAATAATGGCAGAAAAAGACTACAAAGCTGTAGGCTGGCTAGGGCTAATAACAGCTGGATTGCTCTGGATTGATTTCAGAAACCCTGGAACCATATCCACCAGTGTAGTTTCACTCGAGAAAGAGCTTCAACATCGCTGCTCAGATTTGGAATTAGCTAAACCTATCAGCACGAAGCAAGCACCGGCACCGTTCAAAGGCAGAGCATTCCGAAACTCAAAAACAGGGAAGTTCCTCGCAGAGTCTGGCGAAGTTAAGTATCACCAGGCTAGCGGTAGCCGCAGCACGCTAGTGTTGCGGGACAACCCGGAAGCAACGAGCTACTGGGTCGAGGAACGACATCCGAGCAACAAAGAAGTCGTGTTTTATAAGAACTTCGCGACGAATATGTACCTCGGCTATGACGCGAATGGAGACTACATTTACACGAAGAGCGAACACTACGGAGCCGAAGAGTGGAATCTAGTTGCAGAAGATACCTCGCATAACGGCGAACGAGCTGTGGTGATATTTGCATGTTATGGGAAGAGGTTCTTAGCGGTTCGAAATGGAAAACTAACTGGCGTTGCTTCCAGAGATGCTGATTGTGTCTGGATTCTGGAATGAGACAGGAGCAGATTTGACGCCCACGAGACGTGTGAATGTGTCAAAAGGAAAGCGTGATAATGATACATGCACTATACTGAACTGTATTCTTGATTAACCAGGGCATTTTGCATCATTTTCCTTAGATATATCAGAAAAAAAAATATTCATTAATTTCCAAACACAAAAATCAGATACAGCGCTAAATAAAAAAAAACCGTAATAACTTTTAAAATCAAAAATAGTCTGTAACCGTTGGTTTATCAATTTATCTGTATTATGAAACTTGAACATGCTTATGAAACTTAGAGCTCACAATAATTATTACGAAACTCCGCGCACATTTAAAAAAATCAATTAGCCTCATTTGTCCCCACTGCTATTGTTCCGGCAACATCTCTAAAAGAAACTATAGCACAAATGATTCTTTTGGTTCCTATTTTGGTTCCTCGAAGAACACTCTTTTTCGAATGTTAGACTCAACTCATGTTACCTAGCCAAGCCAACCATGGACTTCCTCTCAGGGATATTAAAAGTTCCGCGCAAACCTGGAGTTACTGCCAGGGAATTAAAATCTCAGGGCAACCCTTGAACTTCGCGCGAGGAGCCATTAAAGAACCCTGCCAGAAAGTTTAAGGTTTTTCGGGATGAAAAATTATTCAGAAACCAAATTATCAATATTCATATATTATAACAGATATGCAAAGAAGAAGTTGAAACATCGGATTCATTAAAAAAAACCAGGCTTGGACACCTTCAAGGATATTTCTTCGAAGTTTCAGGAAACCAGTCGCTAAAAAAGTTTCTCGCATCGATGAAGTTTGATTTAATTATTTTCAAAGCTTATTTCGTATTTATCTTGGTATACAGAACGTCTACAAATATTCTCAGAAAAAAATATAAAATATAAATCTGTAAAATTTAAGTTTTTTTATTTTCATTGTTTCATTCTTTATTTATCTTTTTCTCGCTCTCTCCCTCTCTCTCTCTCTCTCTTTCAGCCAGGATTCTTTTCTTCTTGTCACATCTTGAGTACTGGCTGTTTTTAAATTTCTTGCACTCGGTCTGCTCTAAAGTTTTTGTTATAACTAGTGTTCATTTTCTCTATTTATATTTTAGGGTGCTCTTTTCTGTGTTCATAAGATTTTTTGATTTCTGGAGATATTTTTTAATATTAGGTTCGATTTCAAAATTTAAGTGTAAGTTGTTTTGGGGTAAAAACGGTTTTCGGGCACAAAAAAAGGAAAAAGGGTAAAATGGTCTATGTCTTTGGAAAATTCGGGCAATCTATGTAAAAGTTTGATATATTTCCCCTAGGCTAGGCCTGCCGTCAGGGATAGATCGATGGATGTAACTCTACGGACATTTTAGCCGGGAAATCTAGCAGAAAACATCAGCTAATTTTTTTCAATGCTATGATAAAAATTTTGTCTTTTGCTAGAACATAGTTAGTATCTAATATATCTGAATAAGATTATTTCAACCGTGATTTTATCGGCTGCAAAGTTGATTGTTTTTTTTTTACTTTGGATTAAATTTTTTGCTAAGATAATTGTGGCTGGAATATTATACAAAACTTATAAGACGGTTGATAAGAATTTTTAAAATTTAGCTGATGTCAAATCAAAAGAGATGGCTCAAAGATAAGATTTTTAGCTAAACTTAAAAATCATTAGTTTTTGCGGGAATTTTGCACCCAACATTTGAACTAACCAATGTAGCAAGTCAAATTAGCAAATTAATTAGTGAAGTTTGCCAAACTGGTAGTTTGTAAGCAACGATGTCTACAAAAAATAACTTACCGGTAACATCATAGCTACACAAAACCAATTACTGGCATACATTTTTAGGTCGTAGCACAGCGAGTAAACACAAACATTGAATTGCCAGACGAGACACAAATACCAAATTGGAAGGTAGCGGATGGAAAATGAGATAGGAGCCACTAAATCGGGAAAAAAATAGAAAAAAGCCGGAACAAACTACATATACAAAACCTTCATACTAGAGATGTTTAGTTTGGGGAAAATTTGCCGGAAAACACATTTTTAGCGTCAAAGAGATTCTGAGCCAATTACAAAGCGGCAATTAGGCCGCCAATATTTGGGTAGACGCCTGTTGTACGGAAAAAAGATGATGAAAAAAGAATTTTTGAACAATCAAGTTTTGAAACTCAACATTTTATGCTCCAAACCTCCCAAAATACAAAAAAGCTTATGAAGATAATTTTGCAGATGACGCGACATAAAGTGACTGACCAACGTGATGCAACATCAATCGAAACTGTGAAAAATGCAGGTTCAATATCTTTAATTCACTGAACTAAGATTGACTCGTTTATTCTTTTACGGTTAACAACAGTGAATCCAAACATCGCAGACTAAACTTAAGGTTGACAGGTATTAATTAATTAGTAGCCGCACCAGACACATGGCTAACCAATGGCGCCAACACGTAATATATGATTAGATACTATATATGACATTCCCTCAACAATCAATTTTCAAACAACTGTTTTAAAATTATCCAACGGAAATGTTTGAGTTTTAGACCAGCGATAGTCCACCCTCTCCCTGGGCATGAGTTTTAGTTTAACAAGTTTCTTGAGTTTCCTTTTTCACTCCCTCTTTCAAATGTGCCTTCCTGCTCAATTAGTGTCCCGCTCTCTGTCTTCCTCTCCTTTGGATGTTCTCGCTTTCAATATACTATCTATCATAACCCCGCCGAATTTAGATACCGCCGTCCGCTTCCTGGTACTTTTCCGTGATCCTGTTCCATCTTCTGATTCTTGACTAGAGTATGATACGAGACGTAAGCGTCGTACTCGTTCCCCTTTCTTTTTAGAATGTTTCCCCCCTCGTCCTTCGTTACTCAAATTTGGGGCACTCCCCCCTTGCTCGTTGCTCATAGTCTGGACCTCCGTGTCCACCCCCTGGGATTTTCCAGCTCCGCTTCCTTCGGATAAGTTTGGTCTTCCAATTCCGTCTTCTACATCGTTATTCATTTTTGGTTCATATCCTTCCACATCTCGCCCTGGTGCTATTGTTGAGTTCCCTGTGTGTTTGGAAATTGTTATTGGCTCGTACTCCGAGTCCGAATCGTCCTCCTCCGCTGGTGAAAATTCTCGCACTCTGTTATCAGCCGTACTCTGTGCGCTTGCTTTACTCTGTGTGCTCGTCCCCGCCGCCTGTTCGTTCGCTGCTCGCTTTAGTTCCGCCCGACGTTGCAATGAACTCATAGCTGGGGGTGGTAGTGTTAGCTTACTCGCGGTAGTTGGCGCGTTCGATTTGATGGCTTTCTCGGCAACCCCACTTTTCCTAAGTACAGAGCCATTTGCTAGAGTTATAGTGTGCTTAGATTCGCGAATTACTTTTTGGTTTATGGGTCTATACCTTTTATTGCTATCCTTGAGTCGTTGGAACAACAGTTCGGTCCGTTTACTTGGCTGTTTAGACTTTCCCCCACAAGCCTGTTTCCCGTCCCCGTCAGCCATTGGTGTTCCATCCGCCGCCGAAACTAGTTGATTTTGCGTCAGTCGCCTAGGGTGATTCATATGATCGACATCAAACTCCACGTCGGATCGTTCTTCCCAATCCGTTGCCATGGGTTGGATGTTCCTCGGAGCTCTGGGGTCAGTAGAATCTAAATAGGCAGATTTTTGTTTCAACACTCTGGCCCAGTTTAGGTTTTGCAGGGTTGGCTTTTTCGTAAGATTTCGCAGTACCGTATTGGCTTCTCTGCCGTGATGAGCCTCAAACGGCGATATCTTGAGAGTAGCATTTGGGGCAAATCTTAGAGCACTCAAGGCTCGTTCTATCATTGATTCTAAGTTTCCACTATCTTTTTCTTTAGCGTAAGTTAAGACAAAGTTTTTCAGACTGCCAATGGTACGTTCGACACACCCGGTGGCGCGATGATCATTCACGGGTGAATAAATTATTTCAATTCCTTCGGAATTGCAAAATGATTTAACTGCATTCGATGTGAAACTTGTACCTTGATCCATAAAAATTTTCCTAGGGACACCATGTTGAGATATGTATTGTTTAATGAACTTAAGGACCTTGTCGCTTTTATTATTTCCGCAGATCATTGCAGAGGGCCAACGTGAGAATCGGTCAACCGCTACCAAGACATATTTACTTGATTCATTTAAATATCTAATTGGACCCCAAAAATCAAGCTGTAGGCATTCGTTCGGCTCGCGTGGTTCATAGATCTTCCCAACATCACCTTTGGCGCATAATGGTTTAAGGCTTTTACCTGCATCGGTGCATTCCTTGCATCCATCCGCAGCTGCGACTAAACTCCGGTGGAGATAGGGAAACCAGACATCCCTCGCAGCGTCGAACATACTCGAGCGCCCATGGTGAAACGCATGTATCCGATTAACCACAGCCTTCCTGAGTGGTATGGGGATGACGAGTCGTTCGTCCATCCACAGACAATTTTCCCGCACGTGGAAATCATGTGTATGCTGTCCGAGGTAGGCACCCATTGCTCTGACCTTCTTTTCCAAATCCGGGTCCTTACTCTCCACCAGTTCTTTTATTGCGCGCATCTGGGGGTCCCCTTTATAGTTCGCTTCCACGAGCTTCAGGTTGAATAGCTCCGGCAGTGCACTGCTTTTGCGGACTATCTTGCAGTCCCGGGGGATTACTGACATGATGACGTTCCCTCCTGCTGGGTATGCCGCCGGAAAAATTTCACCTCCGAATGCCGAAGGAATGGAGATGACTGTGTTGCATCGAATGTCCCTGGTGTGATGCGTCTCCGCCTCCAATCTTGCATCCACAATCTCCACCTCGCTGCTACTGCCGCTCGTTATTTCTGGATGTTTCAACAGTAATTTATTTAATTTCTTCAAATTAAGTGATGTCATTGTAGATATGTGTATTTTGTTAGATCGATAACTTGTTTTGTTAAATAGAGGACTACTGTTTACTGTGGAATTAATATCAGACTCACGTAGTTTACATTCGGTGATTGACTTTACTACTTTTGCGCTTTCCCGGTCATTACACTCAGCTATTCGTTTTAGTGGCTTCTGATTGGTCAACCGATGGTCACGCGTTTTGACGCCCTCTTCCGGTGGAATGTTAACTTTATCGTTTCCAACTTGAATATCTTTAGCTGAAACAATTGATTCCTTTGATGCTTTGATTATCCCTTTATTGGTATCAATATATCCGAGTGAATTGGTAATTGATTTCAATTTTGCCACTGTGAAAGTGTTATCATAAAGACTAACTTTCGTGGCTTCCCCCACCGGATGCCTTGAAAGGTAATCCGCCAGGCCAATTTTAGCCCCAGGCATGTGTTCAATGACAAAATCAAAGGGGATAATTCTATCAATCCAGCGAGTTAATCGACTGAACATAGTCTTGTTTCTCTTATTGTTCCCATTCAATAAAGATAGCAAAGCCTTATGATCTGTCACCACAGTAAATTTCCGCCCGAAAATATAATTTCTGAAGTATTCGGAGCCCCAAACTACGGCCAGCATTTCTAGCTCATTCGTCGAATATTTCTTTTCGGCCGCATTTAAAAACCGGGACGCAAATGATATTGGTCGCCAACCCTCGGTGCCTAGTTGTTCGAGTACCGCCCCCAAACCGTTATGGCTTGCGTCGCACACGATACGTATGTCCTTATGTACATCGAAGTGCTTAAGTTCGACAATGTTCGCTACTTGTTTCTTAATCGATTCGAACGCTGTTTGGCAGTCAATTGTCCAGAGGAATTCGTTCTTCTTACTTAGAAGTGGACGTAGAGGCGCCGAAGTTTCCGCTAACGCCGGTAAATATTTGTGAAGACTATGGATTGACCCCATGAACGATTTCAACTGAGAGAGCGTTTTCGGGGCGGTTAATTTGTCAATTGGATCTGTTTTCCGCACCATTGGTGTAATCCCTGATTTCGTAATCCGGTGGCCTAACCACTCGCAAGTATTTTTCGCAAATTGACATTTTTCTAGCTTCAAAGCCATATTTTCTTTATCGAGTTTCATTAAAATCTTCTCCACTAAAGCGATATGTTCGATCTTGGTACCTTTCGAAATTACTAATATATCATCAATGAACGCATGCGCGCACGGAAATTCAGCCAGAATGGCATCCATGACCCGTTGAAATTCCGCCGGCATGGTTGTCAATCCGTAGAATCCTGTTTTGAATCGATATGTACCGGTAGAACGGCCTCCCACCAATGAAAAATTGCAATGTTTACTAGTGTTTTCGTTTAAAGGAAGTTGACCGTATGCGTACGTGAGGTCCATCGTTGTAAAAAAAACATCCCCCTGTTTGCGTTCGCTGATAGTTTGCCCTACGATGTCCATTAGTTCTTCAATATTGGGCATTTGGTATTTATTCTTATGCACTTGTTTGTTTAGTTCTCTAGATTCCAGTGCAAGTTTAACAGAACCGTCCTTTTTCACGGTGATGACAATAGGTGAAACAAAATATTTGTCTGAACATTCTTCCAACTTTTGGATATGACCCTGTCCCAACAGTTTTTCAATCTCCTTATCGACTTTTTCCTGTAATGTTATAGGTACTCGCCTACCTTTTTGTTGAATTGGAGTTAGGTTTTTGAAGAAATCTGCCTGCACCTTATAATTTCGAATGCGCCCTACCCTGTGAAAAAGATGTTGAAATTGCTTACAGAAATGTGTCTGCCACTCATCCAGGTCATTGTCCATCGCCACAGTTCCTTCCGTGGTATGTATGCTTTTCACCCCTTCTGTCGATGGTGCTTGTACCAGCATCAGTCCTAGTGAGGGCATTAAATCCCTGCCAATAATAGACGGTCGGCACCCTCCGATGACGTTTATATCCGACGAACAAGTCCATCCATTGGAATGAAGCGTGACTTGCATCTTGCCCAGAAATTTTAACGGATTGTTTCCGTAATCGCGGAATTGGTCGTCTTGTGGATTCAGCGGTTTCAATTGTACGTTGACTGTCCCCAGGGTACGTTTTAGTTCCCCAATAGTGAAGATGGATATTGGCGAACCACTGTCAATCCAGGCCTGAGTTGCTTTGCCGTTGATTCTTAAGGCTAGTTTGGCCCCCGCGACTTTTAATTCAGTTTCCTCCTTCCGCCGAATTGACATAACCACATACTCCGTCGAACTATCCGAATCCCATCCATGTGCCGGTGTCTTTGAATCAGTCACCCATCCGACAGAACTTCCGTAATTGGATGCACTCTCCTCCGGATAATCTTGGGTAGTCCCGCCATTGGTGTCATCCTCATTTATCATGCCTACGCGACCCCTATTCGCCGATCGACGTCCTCTACAAGTTCGCTCATAGTGTCCCATTTTCTTGCAAAAGTTGCAGTTTACATTTCTTGCTGGGCACTTTGGAATGTGGTCCGGGGTAAAACCACTCTGGTCGCAATTGTAGCACTTGCGATCTGCTGCTCCTCCGCGGCCCCTTGTGCCGCCCCTGCCAAATCCACGTCCGCCTCTTTGGAATGGACGACGGTACCCTCCTCTAATTGCGATTATAGGCTCCGCTTTAATTTGTAGTGAACCCGCTGGTGCCGCAGTAAGTCCCCCACCGGATACTTTATACGACTTTGCGTATTTGTCCCCCCGTTCATATGACAAAGCAATCCGGTAGACCTCATCTGGTGTCTTAGTTGAACGGCATAGCTCCGTTTGAGCTTCCTTGTTGGACATATTTACTATGAATACATCACGTAACACCCGTCGTTCCAATGTTCCCAGTGAGCATCTAGCGGCTAGTCCACTCAAAACGGAGTGAAATTCTTCTAGCGTTTCCCCGTCACGTTGTTTCCGAGATAGTAGCTGGTACGTCTCGAATGTTTCGTTTCTTTCCTTGCGGAAAACACTCTCAAATTCATCCAAAACCCGTGGATATCGGGTAGTCGCCAGGTCCAGATGGGGCTTCCGGTTATGTAATTCGTCCTGTCCACGTTCCCCCAAACACAAATAGAGGTTAGAAATTAGTGTCTGCTCTGCTACCACTCGATTTTTCCCATTCACCTCCTCTGGCAGACCGGTAATTTGCGCCTCAGTGAGCGTATTAGCAAAATAAAATGCCGTCGGATTGAATGAATGTTTTGCTATTACACCCCAGGTGAATCGTGTAATCCAATGCTCCCACAACATTGGTGCTTCCGTATTTTTACTCGGCCAAAATGCCGTAATTCCCAGTGGATTTTTTCCTGATCCCGCGCTTTGTCCTGCTTGCTGCGCCATGTGAAAAATGCAGGTTCAATATCTTTAATTCACTGAACTAAGATTGACTCGTTTATTCTTTTACGGTTAACAACAGTGAATCCAAACATCGCAGACTAAACTTAAGGTTGACAGGTATTAATTAATTAGTAGCCGCACCAGACACATGGCTAACCAATGGCGCCAACACGTAATATATGATTAGATACTATATATGACAAAACCATTTAAGCAAAAAAAGGCAAAGCAATTTATACAAAATCAGAATGGGTAAAATAACGAAATACAGAATTACTCTTACCTGAAGTAAAGTTACTTTAATGAGAAGAAAAGCTTCTCAAGACACGCTTTTTAGCACTAGAGCAAGTGAGAGGGGCACTAGGAGTTATAGAGATCATAAGAGAGCAAGGTCAGTTTCTTACGGAATTGTAAGAAAAAATTGGGATGGAAAAAATTAATTGCCGATCACAAGTACACTTTCTCTCTCAAGTGAAACTACGATCTTCTATTAGAATTGGTTCTTTTAGAGATCCCAAACTTCAGACTTCCGTTCTCTGCAAATTTTGGTCTTCTAATTGAATTTTGATTGGTTGAAACCACCAGCGAATTTAGGGGGCGGGGAGGAGGCGGACACCCCTTCTCAGGGATTCGACTCCTTGCCGACCCAAAGAGTCACCCTTTGTACTACTTTGAGATACCCATTTTTGGCTGACTGACCCTAAAAAACGCCAAAATATACTTATTTTAAGGGCGAGCGCGTGACGAAAACGCAATTTTTTGGTCAAAATTCTCCAAAAAGTATTTGAAAGCGCCTTTTTTGGTCTGTCTTTTTTTTCAAAAAGTTGCCTGCGGCGCAAAAAGTTTGGTCTGAGAAAAAACTGCAATTTATCAAAAAAAGGTATCAGAAAAAAACTGTCTACAACTGCTATTTCGAAACTAATATTTTGTCTGAAAAAAACCGCTGCGCTCATAGATGATAGATATTGCGCAGCCTTTTTTTGAAAGGCTGATTAAAACGGAACTTTTTCTTGATAAAATAATTTATTTCAAATTTTGGCACTTGAAACTGTTTCGTAATTACTGAAATATTTTGCTATTTTTTTGAATCCCTGCATTAGCTCTGCATTCTCTATAAAATTAATCCAGCTGGTTTATTTGAAATTTGATTATTTTCTAGATTGCATAGATATTAGTCATAGCTTTTACAGTAACTTCAGTTTCAGGCTTTTAAAGCGCGTTCCGGGGACGTTTTAACTGTAGCTGACTTCTCTCTCGATTTAGATCTACTGTCTGATTTGGACTTGGGTGATCTTTTTCTTCCGCCTCCTTTTTTCACACCATCTAGTATGTGTTGCATCTCTTTTTCATTCACGTCTATCACTGTTATGGAAACTGAAAACATAATAAGTAAGGTAAATATAAAGTTACCCAATGCATATCCCAATGTACTACGCTCAGATATGATTGGCTAAAAAATAATTCTTCTGAGCAAGTGAACAATCCTCTCCCTATTTTGATTAAGGGGGTAGATTACATAGTGCAATTGGTCCCATAGGTAAGAACGAGGATCCTAATTTTTTCTAAGATCGTCTCTCCTGGAACCTGATCTAAACTACATTTTATGATTGGATAAATTAGATATTTTACCAATGTAAAGTATTTAATATTAACCAATCATGATCCATCTGACTAACAATCCACTTATTTGTAAGTGCTGAAATTACTTGTAATTTCAGCACCAGAGAGATTTGAATTTAACTTAGAAATTAGTTGAACTCTCCCGAGTACTTCAGCAGCCGCAATAAACCAGTATACCCTAGATCTATTGAGCCTAGCAGAGACTAGTTAAACAACCTGAGACTAGATAGTATAAGAGTAAGATTAGGATCGGTATTAGACTAAGAAGTTGCACGAATCTATCCGGCCGAAAATAAGATAGCGTGACGAGCAGACGGTGTACCCTATCCGAAATTACTCTATGAGTTATACCCATCAATCCTAACTCATCTGGTGCGACGATAAGTCTCGAACAAGACCTTAATAGCTTAGAATTAACCAATAATAGATTAGAATTTAGACAAAACATTTACAAAATGTTATACGACGATAATTTAATCGAAATGTCTCTACGACTCAATAGATCAGAGCCAATATTCCGAACGATAACAAAACTACCCGGAATTGGAAGAAGACTCGAACCAGAGACGACATACGACAAAGTAGAAACTTACCATATAGTTATATGATAGTTCGGCAAAAGCCAACACAAACTTTTGTATTTAGAATACTACTAGCAATGAATTTAGATTTTCATTTGCAAACATAAATTTTGAAGTCAATGTTCAAAATCATTTCAGGCGCTAAACAAAATTATTAATATACAATAACGATTGATAAAAAGATCTCAGATCGTTTTCCTAAATTCTGCAGTAATATACAAAACATGTTTGAAAAATATTTATTGAAAAATCAAAATAAAAATTAGTAGCATGACAGTAAATGGTTAGTAATTATAAATCATCCTGTTGTTCCAGCTTCATCACCTAAACATAACAGCATTCATAAGCTCACTAATATCATAAAAACACTAAATCTTTTCTCTACACAAATTTAAATCATTTTAAACTTAAATTCACTTAAATTTAAAATCAGATCATCAAGGCTCATCCTTGGATCTTAAATTATTTTCTATTTAATTAAATTTAAAACTAGATCATCAAGGCTCATCCTTGGATCTTAAATCATTTTCTATTTAATAAAATTTAAAACTTGATCATCAAGGCCTCTCCTTGGATCAAAAAGAACAATTTGTTCTCCCCCACCCACTTAGCTAGTGTCTAACGACCTCAAACGTCGATTCACTATCCAACCCTTTCTAAAAACCCAGGACTAACAGAAATTTTTGAACAAAACTAATCATTCAAATTAGGATAAACAGTGAAGAACTTCGGTTATTCATCCTTCACTTGATCCCCCCTCTTACCAGACCCAGGATAAATCTTAGACTTAGTAAGTTTTAAAATAGTATCTAACGAACTACTCGCGTTCTAATTATACCTGAACCTTGTGGATCGATTTACTATTCTCCAACCCTGAACACAATCACTACCCTTAAGTAAGATTAAGTAAGTTAACACCTTAGCTTATACTAGCCACGAGAAAGTATAAAATCATTCTTCGGAATCGATATACTTTTCTCTCCAACCCTGAACAAATAGACCCAGGTTAAGCTAACCAAAAAATCGTAAGGACTAACAGTTTAAGCAAATAGAAATCATTTAACAACCTTTTGCACCCGTCATCCTAAACCTTATGTCATTTAAAAACCTAGGAAATAAACAAACAATCGTTTTACACAATTGTGAAATAGATAACAAAAAATACGATCTTGTAATCACACCACACACACAAACAGTTGGATATATCAGAACAAAACGACAAACACTAAAGAGAAAAATAATAACTAAACAAAGACAAATAACACGAAAAAGATTTTCAAAAAATCGAAACGCATTTTCAGAATCAGAAACCAACAGTTTAGACGAACTTTATAAACTAAAAGAATCAATAGATAAAAATTGCCCAATTCACGATCAATTATATTTCTCTGACTCAGAAACAACTTCAAATTCAACAAAAAGAGGAAAAAGAAGAATAAAAAAGCAGTATAAACACAAACCAGTACATTTATACAATTGGAATCAACCAATTAGACACATTGATAATTACATATTAACAGTCATCGAACGAAAAAATGAGCTCAACGCACACCCCAGGTGAAGAAAGTCCAGATGATGATGATATCTTCCCCTTTATAGTAGATGCAACCACTGATAGAGGACAGCATATATTTTGCAAAAATTTACTCTTAAATTTGTTTGAACCCGGAATCAGTCCATGTAAAACAGAGTTCCCAGATGTAAGAATCAAAAGACAAATTATCGATCACTATCTAAAAGATATATGTAACCTAACACAACAATACGGAATCTACTCCATAGAATTCAGCTCACCAAACCAGAATCACAGTAAATATATAATTCAAACAGACGACCTTGATTTAGAATTTTCAAAAGTATTCTCAGAATATATAAAAAGCATCCAATATCATAACTCACAAAGAGCAAACTCCATATTCACCAATGAAGTTTTTGCGATAATATATAGTTATATCTCGATATTAGAAAACGAAATCCAGATACCAAATGTCTCACCGACAGAAACATCTAAACATATAAGAGTACGACATGAAATCACACTACTCTCTAGTTTTCTAAATATAATTAAAGAAAATTTCACGAAAGATGAAGTTTCACAACATACAAAACACGACTTACAAAAAATTTTGGCATGGTTCATAATAGATTATTTCACACATAATATTGATTTAATTTCACAAGCAAGAAAAAATTTTAGACCCCAAAACTCAAACGATGATACTGCCATTACAGAACAATCAGACTATGTTTGGGACCCCGAATGGTCTCATCCCGCATTCATAAACTTCCCAAAATCAATCTCAAGTCAAGCAATAAGTACGATATCTTATGTAAGAGATTATGTAAGAGTAACACCATTAACCATTGATGCAACACCATTAAACTATAATACATTTTTACCCGATATGCAAAATAATAGTTTAAACTCTACAGTCATACACAATGAAAACCTCAATGGAACTAGGAATCTTACTCAACAAGATATCCAGACACCATCACACTTCATAAATGAAGAAATCGTACACAAAACAACTACACAACAAAGTATTTCACCAATACGTCCAAACTTAACAACACCAAGAAATACAAACCCTTCACAAACACAGGTAACCTTACAATCAACCGTTAAACCTTCGGTTGCCCCAAAATATTCACACATGGATTACCAAACATACAGACCCATGACAATACCGCCAAAAACACGCAAAACGTTCACTAGAAACAACTTTGCAGACCATAATTATAATTACACACATCCATCAAAAACAAATTATCAACCACGAAAAAATTTTAGTAATTATACAAGATCTCGAAACTGGGATAACCCAATGGCACCACCTAATTCAGTAAATTTCCAAACAAATTTACATCCTCCACAGGATCGTAGTGAAAACTATCCATTTTTTCAACAAAATAAAAATAAAAAACAAACATCTTATCAAATGGATTACTTATCCTCAGATGATGATTTCTTACAACCAGATATATTTGCACCCTATAATCAAGAATATCGTGGACAAGGAATACAGAAACCACATACATATAATAGAATTTTTTCTCCACAACCAATAGATACACAAAATCAACAACCAATTCAGCAACAAAACCCAATTAATACACAATCTTTTCAACCAATTCAGCAACAAAACCCAATGATTGCAAACTCGTACCAACCAACACAAATGCAAAATGAAATACCACTCCCATATTATCTTCAACAACACGAAATAACAAGAAATCAACTTTCAAATTTTTCTCAAATGCCAAATGCAGCAGAATCATTACAAATGACTATGAATCCATACCTTATGGGTGGATCATCAATAACATCAAATAAACTTTTAATGGTATTCACAGGAACAGACCCTGAATATTCTGTAGAAGATTATTTAAATGCAGTAACAGCAAATTTGATTTTAAATATAGGACCTGAACCAATTAATACGCCACTACATCAAAACTGGATACATCGACGCACAGCGTTAATACAAACAACTTTAGATGGCGCAGCCCAAAAATGGTTTTCAGTATTGCCTATAGAAATAAAATCAAATTGGAAAAGGTTTACACAAGAATTTTCAAAAATGTTTGACTCTTTGAAAGAAACAAACAACAACAAAGAGTTTTATGTAATGAAATTCGCAGATTACCAAACGAAACCATCAAGCAATTAGCAGTACGAATCGAAACACTAGTTCGAAAGCATATTCATTAAATACACATGACTATAAAAACACAAAGATGACAGAAATCTTAATGATGACCTTAACACCACAATTAAGGAAAATAGCAATAAAAAAGAGAGCATCCCATCCTTCTTCAATTCGAGAACCCGATTTAGATTTTCGAAAACTAGTAGACAAACTAGAACAAGCAGAAATCACGATGAAACTCGAAGAAACGGAAAATCTGAAATTACAATACGTTAACAGAATTGAAACAGCTTCCGCAAATATAAACAATATACAGGAATCAGATACAGACCTCGTTGAAAAAATCACTGAAATACTCAATATTTACGAAAAACACCCAAACTTTAAAGGCAAACCATCTTTCAAAAAATGGTGTAATTATTGCCGACGATACGGACATAGTATTTCTGAATGTAGACAAAAACAGCAAGAGAATCAAAATAAACCTCAAAAATATAAAGAACCAAATAAATCATTCTAT